GAGATCACGACCCAAACCGAAGGCAGAGGCTAAGCCCACTGAGCCACCCAGGTGCCCCAGATTATCTAATTTATTTTATAAATGAGGATACTGAGTATAAACAAGGTTAAGTACTTATCCAAGGGCACATACATGGTTATCGGCAGAGTATGAACTACAAATCAAATCTACCATGTGTTAGTCCAGGTACTTCCACCACACACTATGCTGTCTTACAGGTTTTTATGCTATCTAAAACATACAAGTTGATTTTGTACCATCTTCTACTTTTTAAAGGGAATAATGCTACAAAGAAAATTTCTTAGGAAAATATCAGTACATTTTAATGGATAGTTTCTAAACCATAATTCTAAGTCATATCCATAAACAAGGTATTTCTGAGTAAGTAGAAGAGTTATTGAAATTAAAATTAAATTTCATATCCATAAATAAGGTATTTCTGAGTAAGTAGAAGAGTTATTTAAATTAAAATTAAATTTAATTAATTAATTAATTTCCCAAAGGCCTCCCTCTTATCTTCTGTTTACAGTTCCCTGTCAGTTACATTAGTTCTGAAACATTTAAGTAAAGGCCATTTTACTCAGGGGGTCATAAGAGTCAGATGCTTGGCTTTTGCATAGGCTGCAGCCTTCTAGACCTTTCCATTAGCTCCCACTTCATGGTCCCCGCAGGCTTTCCAAACTTCCCACAAATTCTCATTTTTCTACCCACTCAACAGTGTTCTCTGGGCTGAGATCATCACTGTCAAATTCTTTGATCTGGAGTCAGTTCCTACCACCTACTCAGTGCTTCAGGATAGATGTATCATTTACAATTTTTCTCATGTTCGGCAGAACCGCTCTGACATATGGTAAAAGTTTTCTTGACATCCACACCCTCATCTATGCCAACAGTAGTATGAGTCCTTAATTCCCCACAGAGCGAATTCCATTTTCCTGACCACACCTTTAGCCACTAAGTTGCTGAAAGCACAGGAGCCTGTGATTCTGGCCCAAGGACAAGTGCTGGGAACAAACACTGTAATCCCACATGGAAAAGCAGCATAATGATGCACTTAAAAGTTTCGCCTCTAAGCTACCTTAGTTTGATTCCTGGCTATACATACCATTTAGAAGCTGTATATCCTTGGGCAAGTTACTGAAACACTTTGCCTCAGTTTCTCGACTATAAAATGGCAATGACATTTGTAACTACTTCATAGCATAGTAATGACAATTAATATAAAATACCAAGTAAGTAACAGATAATGGTCAAATAAAAATATACTTTTCGGGGACCCTGGGTGGCTCAGTGGGTTGAGGCCTCTGCCTTTGGCTCAGGTCATGATCCCAGAGTCCTGGGATTGAGCCCCACATGGGGCTCTCTGCTCTGCAGGGAGCCTGCTTCCTCCTCTCTCTCTGCTGCCTCTCTGCCTACTTGTGATCTCTCTCTGTCAAATAAATAAATAAAATCTTTAAAAAAAAAATGCTTTTCAATCCTTTTCTTTCCTTAGACTTAGTCCTTCTATTTGTGCCCAATAATAAAATACAGAATATGGTTCCTGGGAGACTGAAATACTGAGGATGGGATATTTGTGAGCCAATTTAAGATGATGTTATAAAGTTACATTCCTGGAGCAGGAAACAATATGTGAAGAATTTTCTAAAACCAGATCATTCCTCTTTTATTTATTAATAATATTTCATTATTTCCATGTTTCTTGAACTATGCCCATATTACTTTTTCATATAACTCACTGATCACTTTTTTTCTTATTTTTTGTTCGACAGATACACCAAAAGAAATTTCAAAGTACAAAATATATACCCTTATGATAAACATAGATTCATGGGCTGGGGAAGGGTAATGTTGGGAGGAAAGTCAAAGGAGATGATACTTTTGAATTTCTCATAACAAAAAAATATTTACTTTCATAGTTAATATTTTCAAAGTGTTACTTTCATAGTTAAAATTTAATTTAAAAATAATTCTAACTTTCAGAATCAATTTTTAAAAATAGTAACCTAACAATTAAATATGAGACAATTAAATATGAGATAACATGAAAAAAATGAAAATATGGGTCAGAGAGAATCTCCATCTTTGCACAAGAGGAATATTTTCTGGAAATATAGTATTTTCATTCTTACAACTCAAAAATAGCTCTTTTAACCCATTATTTTTAAACACCTTTAACTCTTTAAAGCTATCATTTATTTCAAGTAACTTTTCTGGCTAATCTTTTATCATCTTTGGGTAGAAAAAAATTAGGAAGAAAAAGTAATACTGGAACTACTTACTTTGAAAAGCATCTATATCTTACCGGATCTACTGTCTCAAAATGTGCTATAGTCATTCAGAGTTCTATAAATCCTTATTAAGGAAATCAGAGTAGAATAAAATGAAAAATGAATTTCCTCAGCATCTAAATAATAAAAATATAGTAAGGCTTGCCAAAGTGTTCTATTCCCCATTGCACTCTCCAGCTATGATAAATGGAAACTGCCTGTCAGCAGGAAAAAGTGGATGCCATTCTTCTAATAGCAGCCTTATTTGGCACAAAGGAGGCACTCAAGCACAAAAATTGAGTCCATGGGCCCATCTCTCTTAACACTGATCAAATCAAATGAACAAATCAAAAAGATATTTGTTGCTTAATAAAAAAAGCTGAGATACAATAAGCCAAATGTTTCAGGTAGATTTGGAGTAATTAGTTAGGAAACAAAAACCACTATATACTTCTCCATCTTCACTGCCAATTCCAAAGCATGCACTCTTTTTTTCTACAGCAAGTTTCACAGTATTCACAATTTAGAGGGAAAAAAGCAAACCAACATAGAATAGCAAAATAAATATATGCTGGTGGCTAATATATACACACATGCTGTCAGTATGCTTACAGATTTGCTGCTACTATTTTTTTTAATATCAATTTCCTCAAGGTAGAATAACCTTCAAACATTTTGTTAATTAATTTCTACACTACTGCACTGTGACTTTTGAAAGCAGCAATGCCCTTGTACAAGCTTGGGGGGGAACACTTCACGCTTAACAGAAAGTGCAAAGAAAAAGAGTGTTGGATCTTGTATTTAATGTGAACAAACTCAGGTACACAAGTTAGTAAGTGGATATTTAACTGTCTTACGATAGATAACACTATGCTAAAGAAAGACACATGAACGTACTGGTATCACATTCCCAGCCATGCTACCTAAAAACCAAATGTTTTATAACTTCATTTGAACCTCACTTAAATTTTTTCTACGACCTTTAAAAAAGAAACAAAACCCACAGGGTATTAATTCAGGCTGAGTTTAAGTCCTATTCTGCCTACTATTTGTAAGATCATGGTAGGTTACTCAAGCTTTCTGTGTCTCAGTTTCATTTTGAGTAAAATAGGTATTATAATAGTCATATACTAATTTTTTAAAAGGGGGAGTGGGTCAGAGGATTAGTACAGTGTCTGGCATGTGATGAGTCCTCAATAAATGTTAGGTATTATTATTATTATTATTAAACAATTTCAGGTAAAGGTAGGCTAATCCCTCATGTCCTCTTCTGACCTACTAGCTTTGAAGAAAGTAATGAAGTAAAATAGCCAATGATCGACTAGTAGGAAGAAAGAGAAAATAATAGGATGGCTGGATTTATTAGTAGCATGGATAAACGGAAGTTAAATTAATAGTAGTAACATACCAGGATTTACACAAATACTCTAACATGTAAATCCCTTCCATCCCTCTTTTGCTTCTTTACTACCACCATGATGTTACTTTTAAACATAAAGATATAAAGTATAAAAGATGAGAAAGTAATAGCAGGGGGAAGAAAATATGTTCAATAAAAATAGGACTTAAATCTATGGCAGCCATGAAAATTTTATATTTTTGATGGTTCTTAGAGACAACTCTATAGAGACAGTCCTTCAAAAGAAAATTAAAGTGCTATATATACTCAATCATACTATAAAGTCTGAATTTAAAAATAAAACTATTTAATAGAATACCAATTCACATATCCCACAAAAAAGATTCTTGAAATAAGAGAAAAATCATTTTTACTAGCATGAAATAGCCCAAACTTTTCTAAAAACTGTGCTAGTACTATAACCCAAAGGAACTTAAACTTAACAGAAATGGATAGAAAGTTGTAGAACAAATGATCATTTTAACAGTTTTATTTAGTGATATATTATTTTGAATGAGAAATTAAAGCTTAGGATATATGTCATGAATTCCCTACAACACAAAGTTAAATTTTATTTAAAATTTTGATAGAGTAATAGGACTATTGTGAAATGAAGTACACTTTGATCAGTAATGGCAGGAAAAATAAAAACTAACGAAAGAATTATTATAAGAAATTTAAGGACAGAATATCCAAAAATGTAATATATGTACTAAAATAAAAAGTATAACTAAGAAATACTAGGAACAATTAAAAAATTAAACAAAAGGAGAGATAAATCACTTATTTATTGTGAAAGAAATCCCTTATTTATTGTGGCTATATAAATACTGAGATATTTATGAATCAATTCATTGGATTAAAGTAGCAAATAACAAAAGGAAAAACTCCATTCATACAAAATTCAAAACTTGCAAAACTATGTATTACTTATGAATACACACATTTGGAGATTCATTATTAAAAAAAGAAGAGAATGAGAAATATAAAGTTGAGAACAGAGGTAACCCCTGTGCCAGATAGATGAGAATGTAATTACCAAGGATTCACAGGGGACATCAAAGCCTTTCGTAATGTCTGATTTTTGAAGCAGGCTGGTGGATACTGTGGGCATTCATTATTATTATGCTTTAAGTTGAATTCATAAACCATAAATTCTCACGTATGTATGGTATATTTCATGATTGTAACAATAAACTCTTAAGAATGACCAATAGCAATACAATGGTTTCTTTCTTTGACTCCTGAGTATATGTTCAGCCTTTGTCTTTCTCACCTCTTAAATTCTGACCTCAGATTTCTGTGATGATTATGATAAACAGGTAAAAAATTACCGTGTTTCTTATTGGAATCTTCTTGGGTTCTGGAGGCATATCCTGTGGAACAAATTTCACCGGTTCCTTAATCTGCCTCCTTGATCGTTTGGTCCCATCTGGTAAGGTTTCCATGGCCATGTCTGCTTCCATGTCACTGCTCCCTGCCTGGTCACATTCTGAACACTGCCTACATAAAGAAAAAAATATAAGTTCATATATTTATTTTTATTTTCTAGTATTAGCTATGGTTTCTATTAATAAAAATTCAGGTACATGTGAAGAATATATAAAAATATACACTCCTATAAGAATGACAATAGTAAATATGTAAAGCAATTCCTGTATCCCTGTAAGTATCATAAACACATACAATAATGCTACATGTTTAAGTGAACCAACATAAGAGATTCAGCACTGATGGTGAAGTCCAAAGTAACAGAAATCTGTCTCTCCACCTAGAAAACAACTGCACGGGCACAATGTTTGATGTAATTATTTTCAAACTCTGGACTCTAGTAAAGGCTTGCAACTTCCAAGGAAAGACTTGCACAGGTAAACTGCAATTAATTTCAGTCAATTTCAGCTCTAGGCGAAGTCACAGCTACCCATTCTCCAACCAAGCCACACAGCAGGCAGAACACTGCACATGTTCCTGCAGTAGCTTACAAACAGCAATTAGGAGCCAGGATGGCCAAAATAAACCATGTCCTCCAAATATTGAGAATCTGTGCTCTGATCACAGAAGTTCAAAGAGCTGGGTAAGGTCCCCTCGGCCTAAAAATGACTTTAGAACTTAAAATTATCTCCCGCCTTCATTTTTCTCTTTGCTCCCTTTTGGGAGCCAGACACTAAAGACATGGACACTCAAAAATAAGAGCATATACAGGAAAAATTAGCAAATGACCAGACTTGCCCAGGGAAAGGCTCAGAAAAGACATAAAAAACTGTAAGTTTACACCTTAGACTGATCCTCAGCACAGAGACAGCACACTATGATAAGAAACAAAAATAAACAGAAACAGTAACAAAACACAGCAAATGTTGGGACTGGTTGAAATCTCATTTCCAAAGTTATCACATTATTAAATACAAATGTCCAGTTTCTGAGAAAAACCTCACAAGTTAAACAAAGAAAAAGGAAAGTATGGCCCATTAAAATGGGGGAAAAATTAACAGAAACTGTCCCAGAAAAAGACCTGAAGGAAGATCTGCAAGACAAAGAATTATTTTTTAAATGCTCAATGAACTAACAGAAATTGTGACAAAGACAAGAAAATAATTTCTGAACAAAACAGAAATATCAATAGAGAGAAAGCCTAAAAATAAACCAAAAGGAAATTCTGGAGATGAAAAGTACAATAACGGAACAGAAAATTTACTAGAGGGATTAAAAGGACAGATCTGGCAGCAAACTTGAAAGAAAGAACAATGGAAACTACAAAGTCTGAGGAACAAACAGAAAAAAAAAAAGGCTTGAAAAAAAGTGAACAGATCCTAAGCGGCAAGTGAGGGCATCGACAAATACACCAACAATCGCATCGTGGAAGACCCAGAAGAAGAAAAAGGGGTAAGAGATAATGTTTAAAGGAATAATGACTGAAAACTTCCTAATTTGATGAAGGAGATAATATGAAATCCAAGAAGCTCAACAAATACCACACAAAATAAACTCAAAAAGTCCCACACCAAGATGCATTATAATCAAACTTTCCAAATAAAAAGACACAAAGAGAGCCTTGAAAATAGAGAGAAATTCAGAATCGTCACATACAATCAATAAGATTACAGGCAGAGCTCTCATGAGAAATTCTGGAAGCCAGAAGGCAGTGTTATCAATGTATTAAAAAGTGTTAAAATAACCAGAAAAACAAACAGCAACCAAAAAACCCATTCAACTAAGAATACTATGTTCATCAAAATTGTCCTTCAAAAGTGTGGGAGAAATTAAGACAGTGCTAGACAAACAATAGCAGGGGGAGTTTGATACCACCAGACTTGTCCTACAAGAAATGCTCAATGGAGTCCTGTAGGGTGGGGGGAGGGGGGAAGGACACAAGACAGTAACTCAGAGTCCATTATGGAGAAATAAGAATCTCAATAAAGGTTAATACACGATCAATTATAAAAGCTAATATTATTATAACAATGGTTTGTAACTCTACTCTTGTTTTTTTATATGATGTAAGAGACTAATGCATTAAAAAAATTAATACCATAAACAGCTTATACTATTATAACTGTTTCTTAAGTCCACATGCATGTAGAAGAAGGATTTAAATAAGATATAGAGGGGCACCTTGGTGGCTGTGTCGGTTAAGGGACTGACTCTTCATTTCAGCTCAGGACTCTGCACTGTCCATGGAGCCTGTTTAAGATTCTCTCTCCGTCACCCCCCCAAACCTCACTCTCCACAGGCACTCTCTCAAAAATATAAATAAATAAATAAATAAGATATACAAATGGCTAATAAGCACAAGAAAAGATGCTAAACATTACTAATCATTAAGGAAATGAAAATCAAAACCACAATGAGATAGCACCTCACATCAAACAGGCTATTATCAAAACAAAAACCAGAAAATAGTGTTTGCAAGTATGTAGAGAAACCGGAATCCTGTACAGCTGCTTTAAAAAGCAGTATGGTGGTTCCTTAAAAAATTAAAAATACAATTACCATATAATCCATTCTTTTTTTTTTTTAAAGATTTTATTTATTTGACAGAGATCACAAGTAGGCAGAGAGGCAGGCAGAGAGAGAGGAGGAAGCAGGCTCCCCGCTGAGCAGAGCCCAATACGGGGCTTGATCCCAGGACCCTGGGATGACGACCTGAGCCAAAGGCAGAGGCTTTAACCCACTGAGCCACCCAGGCACCCCCATATCATCCATTCTTAAAGAGGTATCTCTACACCCATATTCATAGCAGCACTGTTCACAATAGCTAATTGTGGGAGCAACCCCAGTAACTAGTGACCTATAAATGGATAAGTAAAATGTGGTACATATACAATGGACTATTATTCAGCTTTAAAAAAGAAGAATATTTGCAATATGCTATGACATGGATGAACCTGAAGACATTAGTCTAAGTGAAATAGGCCAGTCACTAAAAAGACCAATACTATATGATTCCACTTACATGAGGTACTTAAGAGTAGTTAAAATCATAGGGAGAGAAAGTGGAATAGTGATTGCCAAGAGCTGGAGCGAAGGGAGGAATGGGGAGTTATTATTCAGTATGTATAGAGTTTCAATTTATACAAGATGAAAAATGTCACAGAGATAGATTATTACTGTATTTAATATGACAATATAATAATTATTAATGTACTTAATACCACTGGACTATACCACTTAAAAATGATTAAGATGGTAAGTTTTATGTTACGTGTATTTTGCCACAGTAAAATGTTTGAAAAAACAAGAGTAACATTAAAAGATAATTAAACACTGAAATTTCAGTCTAGGTCAGTACATTCCAGTAGAACTGTTAGAATTATCTATAACTGCACTATTTAGTACAACAGTCACTAGCCATATATAGCTATTGAACACTTGTAATGTGTGACTAAGGAACTGATTTTTAAATTTTAATTTTAATCAATTTAAATCCAAGGAGTCACATGTGGCTACTGGCTAACACTGGACAACAAAAGTCTACAAAATGATTATTGAAAATCTTAATATTGCCAATTATAAAGGCCCACTTAAAAATTCACTAGAAACTGTTAAAAGTAATTTTTTTCATATATTTTCTTTACATTTAAAAGAATGATCAGAAGGTTCTTTAGAAGTCTAACTTACAGTGTTATCTCTATAAAAATAGTTAGAGAAAATAATGTTTCATATTTAGTTTACTTATCAGTACCTTAGTTTCTTAAATAATCTTAGTTTACATCAGTACCCTTGAATGAATCTTAGAATTCCCTCACTGACTATTTTCAAAGATTTCTTATTATTTGAGGTCATACTGCATCAAAATTCACATAACTTGCTCACTAATACAGTAAACATTATCAAACTAATATCTATCTTTTAAGAGTGATAACTTTAAATTTCAAATTCCAGTAACAGAGTTAAATGCAATATGCCATTTGTGTTAATAAGACATATACATTAATTGTTAAAATGCAAATTAATATTCAACGCTTTGTTGCTGTTGTTTTTTTTTTAAAGATTTTATTTATTTGTTTGACAGAGATCACCAGTAGGCAGAGAGGCAGGCAGGGGGGTGAGAAGCAGGCTCCCTGCTGAGCAGAGAGCCCGATGCGGGGCTCAATCACAGGACCCTGGGATCATGACCTGAGCTGAAGGCAGAGGCTTTAACCCACTGAGCCACCCACGTGCCCCTAATATTTAAGGCTTTGATCTTAATATCTGACAATTCTCATTCATCTAACCAAAATTGTTGAGGAAAAATTTTAACACTAAAAAATGACCAATAAGAAAAAAAAAAGTAAGTAATTTATCATGTGTCACTCAAAAAGTTTTATATATCTATTGGTAGAATAGCCAACCACTTCATTCCTTGGATTCACAGATTGCCATGGATATTAACATACAGAGCTCCTGGATGGCTCAATTGGTTTTGGCTCAGGTTGTGATCTCATGGGTAATGAGATCAAGCCCATGTTGGGCCCTGCTTTCAGTGGGGAGTCTGCTAGAAGATTTTCTACCTCTGCCCCTTCCCATTCATACCCACTCTTCTCGCTCTCTCAAATAAATAAATCTTTTTTAAAAAATTAAAATACAAATAAAGTGTAAGATATCCATTTGTTCCTGTTTGTCCCACATGAAAAGATTAAAGATTAGTATGAGCAATAAACACCTAACAATATTCGTAATTTAAATAATGAATATATTTTCAAACAATCTATTGGCAATCCTAAACTGTGAAAACCCCACAAATGTTAGATACTATTAGTAAATAATAACAAATACAGAAATGGCCATAGAAAGAGATTAAATTATGTCACAGAAAAGGACTATTTCCTTAAGTGATCATTTCTACCAGCTGAAGTGAAATGTAATCAAAGTTTCTTAGTTCCAATTCATTTTTAACATACATGAATTGCTGGGATATAGAAACAAGTACCTTTTTAGGATGAATCAGTGTGTTGTTTTTCTTTTAATTGAATTTTTTTTTCTTTAGTTTCTCACTTTGTAACAACAACCCTTGTCAGGACATT